TATCCTTAGTTTTTCTACATGGTATCAGAGCATAATGGCTTCCGTTCCAGCTGCTCTTTTCTTCTTTGATAACGCTTCTTTGCATCTTCATGGCAGAAGCTAAATTTTAGATTCAATCAAATCAATTTTCTCGGATTTCTTTCAAGGTGTTCGACAAAAGTTCCCACCAACGATATGCAAAACCAGATCGATTCATCCTCTTCGATGAGCAATTCCGCCATTGTTGAATGTTTTCATGAAAGTTATTCAGATTTTCATTAAACCAGATCGATTCATCATCTTCAATGAGCAATTCTGCCATTGTTGAGTGTTTTCATGAAAGTTATTCAGATTTTCATTGTCTTTGTCCTCCTTTTATGGAGTTTTTCATGGAATTTATTTTGATTCTATTGTCTATCTTCTTCCTTTTATGGATGCCAAATCTGAAGATAACTTGGATTCAAATCATCTGCCCCTTTTCTGCCATTGGGAATGACCTCAAGGATCGGTTTCAATACCAACAACATGGTAGCTCTAGTTCAGATTTTTCTTTCTTCAGTTTCCCCTTCAGATTCAATTTCAATCTCATGGAATGCTCCAAAGGATTCAGCAGCCCTTTCCGAGCAATTTGTGCTGGATTATGCAGTTGATACTCAAGGGAGTAAAATTCTGGTTTCACTGAAGCTGTTGTCTCAGACCATTCTTCCAGCATGCCATACTCTTCATCTAGTAATTGCATATCACAAGCAAACGTGATGAAAGAGCACCCAACAACATCAGATTTTATACTGCAGACGTAATTCAGATTTTTCCTCTCCAAGTTCAAGATGTTCCATTTTGAGGGGAGAGTGTTGGAATTGCATATTCAGCTTAGCAACGCATCACACCTCAGCTCACGTTCAGCTCACCTTCCAGCCTCTTCTTCCTTATTCCAAATTCTTCTAGTTTCTTCTTTAGGGCGTGTCTGGATACACTATTAATAAAAAATCGGACCGTTGTTAATCCAAGATCGGACCGTTGCTCTCTCTTTTTATTCAATATAATCTGACAGGAAGACTGCAAAACTCAGGCCATAAAATGAAAATTTCCCAATTTACCCCCGCCTTCATTACACGCCTCAAAGAATCAAAGTTGGTAACAATTGAGGTGAGAGAAATTGATAGCTTGGAGGACAACAAGATAATTTAATGCCAAAATTTTTTCTTCCCGTGTAAGAATTTGTTGTCCAGTGGGGCCATATGATATATGGGTGTCAAAAAGTCCCGAACCGAACCGGACCGAACCGAACAGAACCGAACCGACCCGAGCGGTACTTCAA